TAATGTTACAAAGTAATTTGTGTAAGATTTTTTGTGTGTAATATGTGTGTGTGTGTGTGTGATGACTAATGGTGGATATAATCAATATGAATTAAAATTTAATAAATAGAAATACAAATTATTTTTTTTGAGAAAATAACAGAAAAATACCTGCTAAATTTTAAAAAGACAAATAGATCTTGTTGACTATTCTTGTAATAGTTTTGGCTGCTCAAAATCTATCAAAATTACTGTTTATCATTTTAAAAGTTAATAAGTATTTTTCTGTCATTTTCACTATTTTTTCTTGAAAGTCCTTAATATAAGAGCTAGTTTGAGTTTTAATTTTGTTATAAATATAATACCATAATTTATTTTATCTCTCATATTTATCTATTCTTTTAAGACAGTCTTTGTAATAGTTGCACATATTAAATATTTTATATAATTATAACTAATATATATGATTAGCAAAAATATTTTAAAAAATAATACATATTTATTATAAATAACTAATTTAATAAATTTTTATGATTTATTGTATAAGGACGTATTAAGGACAGGAAGAAGTAGTATATTGTCAGCTCGGAACCTACGGTGACCGAGCACAAGCAGGAAGAAAGAAATTACCAAGTGGTGGGCCCTATCTATTGAATAATCCTTGTTTCATGAAGAGCTCAATTTCATGAAAGTCACACAAAAAATTGGCCATCTGCACCCATTTTCCTCTGCATCTATCAGTGCAATTACCATCACGAAATTAGATGACGTTTGGAATACAAATTAAATAGAATAAATTTATATGAAAAATAAGGATTATTTCATTTATACTTTTAAAAATATCGCAAAAAATATGAATTATGCTAATATTATTAAAATTATTTGATCTCATTACCATCTTTTTCGTGATGCCCCCTCTTTTTAGAGGATCATCATTCCAAACACGGCTTTAATAATATATCATCTCCACCAAACAATTTTTTTTTTTCCAAGTTTCAAACATGGTTTGTATATGGGATGTAACAGCAGTCTTGATTATTGTTTTATGAGAAAACGAGTTTTGTGGAACATGGATTATAATCTTTCTAGTTATTTCTCTTAATTCCACATATGCAGACGCCCATATATATATATATATATATATATATATATATATGCTTAGTTAAGGATGCACTGATTAGTCAAAAGTTTGTTTGGATTATATATAATGTGTGCTTTTTTCTATTGGCCAATAATAATCAAAGCACACTCTACATAATTTTGACTTTTTAAGGAAAATCTCAAAAAAAAAAACTAATTTCAAAATTTCAAATCAGTCTCATATTAGGAATATGAAAATATTCTGATAAAAGCTTACCTTTAATCTTTTAATTTTGTACAAATTTTTATTTTAATTCCTTCATTTTATAAAGTGTTCTTTCTTGGCAAAATAAAATTCTAAAATCCACATACCCAAGCATATTCCTCGAATGACAGGAGATTGTTAATTGCCATCTTTTTAGCTAGGGTCCTTCAATCATGGTTATTCATTGAATTCCTACTCCCTTTTAATCTACTGACAATAGCAGCCAATAACCTTACATTTTTTTTTTAACTAATAGTTTGTTTGGTATGAGGGAAATGGACGGGAGGGAATGGCAGGAAAAATTTTGATGAGTTTGATATAAAAAATTGGATAAGTTAATTAATTTTTATTACTTTTTTATTTTATATTTTCCTTTTATTAAAATTTTATGACCCTACTTCTTTAATTTTCCAAATTGAGCTCATGAAAATTTTTTCTTCTCCCCCTTCCATTTCCCTCATACTATAACATAGGGTAACTCTAAATTTTTAAGTCATTAAAAATGTTTTCAAACCCGCCTTATTACATTGAAAAGTACCTTCTTGATTTATTGGCTTGACGACTGATTGAACAAATTTAGTCGATAAATAATTTAGAAAGAAAAAACAGAAAGTCACTCTTCTATTTGCAAAATAATAACGACATGCTGCTGGCAAATGATTTGTCCCCAATAAATGATTTTCCACAAAAGGTGGGTTAGATTATTAGATCATTGTCATGTGCTTGTGATATTTGAACTTTAATTGGAACCAACCTTGTACTTTATAGGACTAATATAATCATATCAAGAAGTAAATATCTATCATTTACCACAAAGAATGCCAATGCAAACTAAGGATACAACAACCCGAATTTACTAGAATAAATAGTCTGTAATCTAATATATCAAATATATATGTATATATAATCCTGGTCGCTGCTAATTAATTTATTTCATCCAACGTTGCAATATCTTGATAGATATACCCCTGTACTTTGAGGGGGTTGCTCCAGTTTCTCTATTAGCATGATGATTGATTATGCAAATATCTATTTGGCAGCATTACAATGACGAGTCTTCAAATTTTCAAAGATAAAATAAAAGAGTCAAGCGTTAGGAGGGAAATGCGACTTATTATTATCATAAGAGTTAGTTTCACAACTCATGAATCCCTTGTGAATGACTCTGCTTAGTAAAACAAAGCTTGTATCTAATGGCCGATGACTCACATGAAAATCTTTTTGCGAGCACAACCCCCTTCTGCGGACTTTTCCAAATCCATAGATTATTGCACGTAATAACTGTAAATAATTGAGAATGTCGCTGTCATCCAAAAATTTGGTGGCAGGGTTTTGTTCTGCTCATAAATCCGTTACAATTTGCCATAATTTTTGAATACTCGAAGTATGATAATGAAATTCATAACACAACCAAACTAACTACAGATTCATGCTAATAAAGATTGCAATAATATTACAGGCCCAATACAGAATACATAGTCCGATCCCAAAACTAAAAGAAGTAACAAAAGAGGATGATACAATAAAATTTCTTATTCTTCTTGCCTTCTATTAATTTCTACCACACTATATGCCCACTTGCACAGACCATTATATGACGCTCGCTACAGAATCTGATAAGCAAGAGTTGTGTTAGGGCTGTTGCAGATAAACCCCAAAATGCCAACCTCCAGCTGATATGATGGCAATCAGCAACAAAACAATTAAATCTTACAATTGAGATATAACAGAGAAAGAAACAGATGAGTAATGTAAATCTTTTGTTGATAGATAACAACCGTAATTAAGAAAATATTACCTTTTAATTGCAGAGCCACCTGTGCCATCTTGCCACCAGAAGCAATGTTGACACATAGATAGAGTCTGACACCTTCTCTATGAAATTGAAGTAGGCATGCCTCCATGATCGAGTAGCTAACAGTGATCCAAACACTATCCAAAATCCAACAGCAAATCCCACGCCCAAGCTTTCGTAGAATCCTTTCATGAAAGAATCGTCTTCATCAGCATCTTGGTTGGCTTGTGTCGCATTCCCTAATGGATGTTCTTCAGAAGGACAAAGCTTGTCCAATGGCCTCCCACAGAGGTAAGGATTTCCTTCATAGCGGTAGGGCTCAAAAGATTGCAATTGTGTTCCTGTTGGAATTTTTCCTAACAAGTTGTTGTTTGATAAATCCAAAACATTGAGTAAAGATATTTCAGCAAGAGTTGAAGGAATTTCTCCATCAAAGTGATTTCTCGATAGATCCAGAACTTCTAGAGATTGTAGTTGTCCTATCTCTGAAATAATTTTTCCACTCAAATTATTTGACGATAGATTCAGGAATCTCAACTCAACCAATTTTGAAATTCCTGTTGGTATTTCCCCCTCCAAATGATTGTGAGAGAGATCAATGTTCACAAGCCCATAGCGGTCATCATACACCAATAATCTTCCTTTCCACACCATAGGCAACTTCCAATAAAACACTACACTTCCTCGAAATGTTCCATTCTTAGAGACGCTAATAGCATAGTCGGAAACATTTCGAACATATTTCTGAGCCATTGCAACCAGCTTGTCGAGACAACTAGGTATTGGTCCAGCAAACTTGTTAAAGGAGAGATCTAAAACCCTGGCCTTCGGTAAATAACATAGATGTAAGGGCAGCTTTCCATCTAAGCTATTCATCCGCAGGCTAACAGTTTCCAACTCTTTTAGATTGTCTCTCGTCCACGAAGGTGGTATTGGTCCTGACAAGTTATTTTTTGACAAATCTAACATTCCTAGTTCAGTTGCATTTTCGAAGGAAGGCAGTCCACCACTGAAGCAATTGTTTCGCAAAACTAATTGCTTAAGTTGACTTATAGACCTCATAGAATTAGGAATCCTTCCAGACAGTTGATTATTGGATAAGTCAAGAATCTGTAATGATTTGAAATGATCCCAACAACCAAGAAGTTCCCCTGATAAGTTGTTGCTTGAGAGATTTAAAACTGCCAAATTTTCAACAATTGCACTCCTTCCCTTGGCACACGAATGAACAAATTTTGAAATTAGATTTTCTGAAATGTCTAAAATTACGCTCTTTAGTAGGAACTCTGGAACAGAGCCTTTAATTTGATTGGAAGCCAATGATATCTTAAGAACATTAAATTCAAGTGTTAGATCTGGAATTACACCTGTGAGATTGCTCGATTCTATTTGAAGACTATTTGCTCCCTTTACAACTCTCCAAAACCACTCTGGTATAGAATCATTGATTTCAGCATCATGAATGAATAAATATTGTAAATTATTTTGGGTGCGAAGCCATCTAGGGAATCCAGGGCCCAACTTACAATGCTGTAACCATAAGTACTTTAATTGAAATGGAGGAATCCAATCTGTGCTAAATTTGAAAGTCAACAAATTACAAGATAAGGCCAAGTATTTTAACTTGGTTAGATTATCAAAATGGATGTCATTGATTGTTCCATTTAGCTCATTACCATCAAGGTAAAGAGTCACTAAAGAGTTTATGTTTTTCCCAAAATCGACAGGAAAGGGACCACCCAAGTGATTGTCTGACAGAGAAAGGTATGTGAGATTGGAGCTTAGATTGAACAACCAAGGGAATAATGATGATGTTAGCTTGTTGTAATCGAGATTAACAGTTGAGAGAGATGCAGAAAAATTCAAATGGGATGGAGGAGTTCACAGAATATTATTGTCTGTCAGGCTACAATTTGCAAGCCATAGCTCTCTCAGGTTTGGAAGCTTTCCAATAATTGGCAACAAGTTGTCAGAGTAATTAAGATTGGAAACATAGCTTAAATCAAGCAAAGTTAATGACCGAAGATTGGAAAGCCACTCAATGGCAACCAAACTCTTGTCATCAATTTTCAAACCATCATTGTAGCCAATCCGGAGTATCTCCAAGCTTGAAAGATTACCAAGTTGGCTAGGAATGTTTCCCACTAAATCATTCCCATTTAGATAGAGCTCTTGCAGACTTGAAAGGTTCGCAAGATTGAAAGGTATACTACCAACTAAAGAGTTGGAGGAAAGATCTAGAACCAACAAGTTTGAAAGCTTGCAAAGTTCAATTGGTATTTTTTCACCAAAAGAAGAACGAGATAGATCAAGGTATCGTAATTTGGTGAGAGAACCAAAAAATTTTGGAATTTGACTCTGATTGAAATAATTGGAACTGAGATTCAAATAGTTTAAGTTTTGCAAGTGCATCAATGATGGGCTAATCTTACCTCTTAAAGGCTGCGAGGGCCACCCACCATAAAGATCAAGCTTCTCAACATGGCCAGTACGAGGATTACAGAGAACACCACTCCAACGGCAACAATCTGGAGAAGAGCCCCATGAAGACAGACGACCATAATCATCCACAAAGGCATTCTTCATGCTGAGAAGAGCTCGTCTTTCCTTGTGTAGGCAACTAGCGTTGGTATCTCCCATTCTCCAACATGACCCTATCATGAACAACTCAGCCTGCAAGTGCAGCATCATGAGTATGATGATCGGTTGCGGCAGTTTCACAAGGTTTAGACAACTCACGCTCATCATTATTGTAGCTAGCTCATGCAACGTGAAACTCAAACAAGTACATGAGATGAACAACCCTGGCCTCCTTATTTATAACTCAAGGTCTTCCTGATGATGTGAACAATAATTGTGTGTCTACACCAGACGTACACTATAAGTCAAGGTCTCCCACGAATAACACGATTGGAAGGAATTCAAATTGAGTTTTTGCTCTCTTTTAATGGCTTAACATTTAAAACAGTGTACTATCCTAACATTTAGCCGTTTTCCTTTTCCCTTTTCAAGTCAACTCCTAGCACCCACTTGACTCAACCACCTCCTCCTGCGCCTCATGTGGTTTCTTTTCCAGCAGGATTTAAGTCTTTGCTTTCACTTGAGCTTTTTTTTTGGGGCTTTTTTCCCTTCCGTTTTGGAAGATTGGTTGCAATGAAGCCCAAGTAATATCTATCGCTGTATCCTAATAAATTAAATAAATTTGGCTCTTTTTATCCCAAAAAAAAAAACTCCTCCTCATCATCATCATCATCTTCATCATCATGCTGCTACCGTTATTGTTATGTAAATAATCGTAAAAATGAATAAATTTTTAAGGGTTTAGAACGATTTGAGCTAGTGAGCACCATGAATATGTTTTATTCATTTCACATACGTTTTATATTATACTAATGAATAAATTGATGGCAAAATTTTAGATAATAATATTTTAAAATATATCTTAAAATAATATTATACTAACAGGCGTAATAAAAATGAAAACGAAAAATGTTAGTATTTGAAAAATTATATTTTAAAAATATTCAATATTTGATATTAATTTTATGAAAAGTATGTCGAATTCAAGCTTCATTGAAATCGGCGTCGGAATATATTTACATAATTATGCGTAATGATATTAAACAATAATTGTAATTAGTTTGGTTAACATAAAATTCTTTACAAACAGTGTCTGTGCATATAAGACTTGACGCATATTTGATGAGCCTGCAGCGAATGCTACAAAGGTTTGGGTCTAAATAAGCCCTAAATTGTCTTTGTTTACAATACACCAGAAAGCAACTGGAAGCAAAATTTCTGGATTTGTCTATTAAATGCTGTTAATCTCAATAATTGACCTTTGTTTTGCTGTCTGGATTTCACTAGCTTGTCTGTTTTTGTGAACTAAAATTACAATGAAACGAGTGGCAAAAAAAGAAAGCCAAAGCTTTGAGAAAAAAAGATGAATATCTGTGCATTCTGGTGAAAAAATTTCAGCGCATGAGTGGCATAATTAAGTCTCGTCTCGATTATATGACTTCAAATCCTGCATTCCCGTGTTAGGTGATTAAGGGTTTTTTTGGATTCACTTATAAATAGCTTTTTAAATGTGATTTATAGAATACAAGATAAATATGTAAGTAGAATTTTGTCTTAACTTATATAAATTTACTTAAAAGTTTGTTTTGAATGGAAGTGTAAATAAGCCCTAAATTGTTGACTTCTCATTGAAAAAGAAAAATATATTGAGCAGCGTGGAGTTGAAGGGAACTGCCAGAAACAGAGCAGCAGATGAACAGAGGATAGAAAAGAAGGAAAAATGAGAAAGAACGACACGTGTCTTTCAGCTGTTGAGATAGACAGCTTCTATGGCGTGCTGTGCTGTCCTCATTGCATTAAACTTCAACTTCAATGTTCAACTAAACCTTTCATTTGCTATCGGGGAAAAAATTCTTTCGCCTACGTCAAAATGTTCTCTGTCTCCTTTTTTTTATTCTTAAACATATTAGAGGCTGATCGTTCGACGATTCATTAGGTATCACAATAATCTTAAATAATTAGTACTTGTAGTTCCAGGTCTGATCGGTTCTCCCCATCATCGGCTGACCATAAAGGTAAACTTTGAAATTTTTTTATATATAAATGACATAAAATTTGAAAAGAAAATAATTTGTAAAGAGGAAAAGTGAACGTAAATATCCATATAATATATAAAAATGTGACGTAAATATATAACAACTATGAAATCAAATTTACTACGCTATAATGTATTTTATAATTTATCAAGCTTCTTTTCACTGTTACAAATGATTTATTTTATGAGTTTTTGTGTGCGTTAAAGTAGTAAAAAGGATGGATATAATTAGTGTGAATTAAAATTTAATAAATAAAAATCCAAAATGTGTTTGCTTCCCTTTGAAGAATATCGTTTAAATGGGAACCTCGTGACCTAACGTCTCAGAGCACAAGGAGGAAGAAATTTTCTACCCTGGTGGTGAGCACTATCTATTAAATATTCGTCATTTCATGAAGAGCTCGATTTTATTAATATATTAATATCACAACAGATATTAATTTTTCTGTATCTATTGGCTATTACAATCATTACCATTAAGTACTTTTATTTTTCGTATTTATAAGTAATCTTTTATATTTCACTGGGAAAAAAAAACTTAGATTACGTTAACTATGTTTTGAAATTAATAATTCTGCAACTTTACTTTTTATTTGATATATATATTTTTTAAGAAAATAATATTCCATAGGATAGTTATATACATTCATGCTAGATATTAAATTAATGATATGACTTAGAAATAAAATTAAGTAAAATGGTTTTGGTATCTAATAAATAGAACCAAAGGAATATGTAAATGATGTTTGAAATTATTCCCCTCAAATCTTCATTTCCATTATTACATTCACCCAATATGCGCCTAGTGAAGGGTGCATCGTTTAGTCAAAAGGTTATTTGGACTGTAAACGCACTAATTTTTTAATTAGCTAATTAATAACCACTTCACAGAACTTTTATTCTTTTAATTTTAATATTCTGCAATTACTTTTTAACAGTATATTTGAAGATTTAGTTTTACGTATAGCTCAATGACGTCACGCGAAACCGACCTCATCTAATAAAATACTCCCTCCGTTCCTTATTATAAGAGATAAATAATCAAATTACGTTGATAAAAAACCAGTTAAAATTAGTTGAGAACAATTAATGTGTAAAACGTATGATGTTTTTCCAACAATGCCCCCATTAACAAGGAGAGAGAGTATGAGAGAGAACAATTAAATTATTAAAAGAAAGAGAAGTGGGAGGGAGAGAGAATATGAGTTGGAGACAAAATAAACAGGGGTAAAATAGGAAATCAATACAAAAAAATAGAGACAATTTTTAAGTATCTTTTATATATGGAAACATGCTATAAGCATCAAATGTCTCTTATAATAAGAAACGGAAGGAGTAAGTCTTTATTATTATTGTTTCATTCTGCAATTACTTTATTGCCGTGGTCATCTCACTCTGCACTCGGGGCCCCGGATTTGGAATTAAATCAAGAGACTCTCCAGTCCCCATCAACAAACAAAAATCATTATTCAAACAATATATAAATATAATTAATTCGGTCAAATTAATCCAACATATAATTAATTTCCGCATGTCGCTTGCCCAAATCAATTACTGATGGAGCCGCCGAACATTCTTGGCAATTTCTTTATTATTATTTTTTTTGACCTGATTGGCAGTTTCTTTATAAAACTATATAATCCAACCTTTTTTAAACGCGTCACAGTAGCTTTTGTAATTGGAATGGAAAATCCCCATAGAAGTTTAGTAATTAGAAATTCTCCGATCTACCTTAAAATTATATTTAAATAATAATAATGATAATTACTGCTTACGAGACTTATATTAAATTATATTTCTCCTATTAACCTGTGTTGCTTTTTAGTAATTATATATGTCCAAACATACTTTGATCCTATGTATAAGGCACTTCCAATATGTTTCACAAAGATCAAGAAAAACTTTAAATTTTATTAACTTTCATTTAAAATTTAATGACTTCTCAACTTTATTCTTATTTAATATACATTATACCTCGTATAAACAAAGTCAATGCAATAATAAATGAGTGATAAAATTATACATCTATATTAAAAAAAAATTTCAGTACCCTATAAATAGGGCAAAAAAATATATTTTTTCTCTGTCCTATAAATAAGACCAAAGTAGTAATGTTCTCAAAGTCTAAAAAAAGTATTCAAGCAAGAACCACCATTAACCAACGTAATTTTTAATCATTATCACTTATAAAAATTATGACCATTTAAATCACAATTATTCACTGTTAATCCAGATAAGAACTATATTTTACAAACATATTTTTGGCCAGAAATTTTACAAACATATTTAACGCTTTCGAATGTAGACAAATTATACAACATAAATAAAATTCATTATTCAACTGTCAAAATTTCACTATCAAAAATTATTTTCAAATTATTCGCTAATACAAAGGTTATTGCAAGAATCTGTATAAACTGGATCCAACAGAACTTGGGTTTAGGTATAACAAATTATTTGATGATAGATTTAGGAATCTCAACCTATCGGCTTTTCCCCCTCCAATTTATTGTGAGAGAGATCAATGTTTATAAGCCTATAACGGTTCTTGTACTCCAATTCTCTTTCTTTCCACACATAGGAAAGTTCCAATAAAAAATTTACCTGTTTGAAATTTTCTGTTCTCCACTAGTCTGATAAAACGATCAAAATCATTTATAACATATTTCTAAGCCATTGCAACCAAGTGAGGCAACTTGGTATTGGTCCTATAAACTAGTTGAAAAAGAGATCCAAAACCTGGCCTTTGGTAAATAATACCAATGCAAGGGCAACTTTCCATCCAATTTATTTATTCGCAAGCTAAGAGTTTCCAACTCTTTTAAGTTGTCTCCTGTCCATGAAGGTGGTGTTGTTCCTGACCTATCATTTTTTTTTCCCAAATCTAACATTCCCATTTCAGTTGCATTTTTGAACGTGGGTAGTACATCACTAAAGCGATTGTTTCGCAAAACCACTTGCTTAAGTTGACTTAAAAACCCCATAAAATTAGGGATCCTTCTGAGAGTCGATTATTAGATAAATCGAGAATCCTTAAAGATTTAAAATGATCCCAACAATCAGAAAGTTTTCCTAGTAAATTATTATTTGAGAGATTGAAAACTATCAAATTTTTAACAATTGCACTCGTTCC